ACGTCAAATGTCATTTAGATAACGACCATCGAGATGGTCTTCCATCAGCTTATTTCATCATGTGTTTGGTCGAATACTTTCTGGCTGCAGGTCGCCTTTACTATCTACAATACAACACGTTTAACCTGTAAAAACGAAAAAGTTCCAAAAGCTGGTCCGTCCTTTCGATTTCGCTCAACTAAAATTTCCCTGTACTGCGAACAACGCGCGTTCAGAAAACAGACACTTCGACTGTGAATCGCAGGGCGAACAGTTACTCTTTTATTTCGCTTTCTATACGCTATCAGGACCTTTATCAGCTGAAATGCTATATCCCATTTTAAAGGGTCGAAAATAAATAAATGAGTCTACAACCATTTACAGAACAAAATCATGTTGGCATTATCAACATACTTTAGAAAACGTTCCTCAGCTTCATCAATGTCGAGCGTTTTGTAACGAGCAATTGGCTGAAAATTGTACCATTCGTCTATTATATACGCATCGAAGACGTTATCGCCGTTTTTGATAAATATCCAATAGTCGGCATTCTGGGAGATGCCCCCTTCACGCAAACCGCGGTACTTCTTCTCCTGCTTTCCGGAAACGGTCAACAGCCACGGCTGATCACAGCGACGATACTGAGTTGTGGTGTATCCTACAATTAAGATCCAATTTTCAGAAGTGTCATATATGAATAATATATTCAGTTTAAATAGCATTCGTTAACAAATATGACCAAAATAAACACCTGATTATTTGAGTTTTCACCAAAACATAGAGTATAAAAGCTGCTGACGAACTATGTTGCTGCAGCAGGCAAATCGTTCACTTTTTCTGAAAACAACTTTTTCGCTGTCTAAGGCAGTACGTTTCCGTCTATCTGTTTCTCCTATAGCAACGCATATTTACAGTACTGTCAGAAGAGCCATTAAATTCTCAGACGCCCTTTATGACATGATAGCGATAATAATGCTAGATGAGGTGAAAAACTGTCGTGCTATAATGCATATGATAGTCTGTTTCTAATTTCGGTGCACGCACTGTCGTGGATCTTCTCAAGTCAACCAAATGGTGAATGATGAAGCTGGGTACTAGCTACGCAGCTCTTTGTCTGTTACATGATACGGACATTACTGTGAAACGGGTTATTTTGCATTAGACTACAGAGACCGAGCATCCGAAAACAATGAAACTGTGTTTATTCGAAATGCCATCAGAGAGGTGGCAGGTATTTCGGCAACGCTGTGATTTTCACGTAAGTTTGCACAGCGATTTATTATCTGTAATGACTAATCTGTGATAACGTACTGATGAAAGCAGTGCAAACTTTGAGGCTTATATACTTTTGGCTCAGAGGCCCACCTTTCAGCTTCAGTGAAATCACCTGCTGCAGACGATCGGAAGGCTTGTGAGAACCGGCCGAAACGTCGGAGTCGATCCCGAATTAACCACCTTACTTCGCTGTGTTTAATAGCACCATTTCTGTTACCGTATTTTCAGTATGACTAAAACCGCACGAACAAAACTCTCGCACACTAAATATTACAATATGCACTTCAAATAAGGAGAATGAGCTTACAGCGATTGATTTTCGTCAGAGAAAATTTGTTTACTCAACAAAGGAGAGAAATGAATGCAGACATTGGATCAGTACTGCACATTTTTAATTTTCTTAAACAGTTAAATAGCATTTTGCACAGCGGAAGACTAAAACTCAACAACCTTTCTCCGAACTCTACAAAAGAATCTTCGTTTTAGACACTGCATACATTCTTCAAAAAATAGCAATGGGTTCCTTTACCAATTTTGCTTTCCTCTTCTGCTAAGCTTTCCATATTCACTTTAGCAGAGCAGCTGTTTTCCAAAAGAGAACAGGTCCTTATAACAGAAAAGTACTGAGCAAACCTTCTGTCAATTCTCCGGATAGCGCTTGCTACCATAGCTGAATGGAATCAGACACAACAATGACTACTTCCTGACAACGCCGCGCAAACAACTTCGCCTCGGCCAACCCATTCTGAGGTGGTGTGCAAGGAAATCGCAGCAAACTGTCAGTTCAGGATGAAAAATTCGTTACCTAATTTCTTTCTGCGTGCGTCGTTGCGCATTTGCTGCCCAAACACTGAACCGGCACCGAACTTCGGCGTCGTATCTTCTTCCAAATAAACATCTGCATTGTTCTCACGATCGAGAGAGACATTCGACCACTGAGATATGTCCACACAAAGACTGCCGTTGAATTTAAAGATGTACAGCTTTTTTTTGTCGTTCCGTACAGGCACTCTGACCACAAACTCATCGACTATATCTGAATTTAAATCTTCTTCTGTCTCTGATTCATCCATCTTAAGAAGCAGTTCTGCACCTTATTACACAACAGCCACTTCAGTGGTTAAAACTAACATACCTACCTGATTTTACTACAAAAGTAACTTCGAAATATTCTTGATTTATAGGTATTAACACAGAGTGTAACAATCATTGTAAATTTAAAAACATTCATGAAGTGGATAATAAAGAAATAAGATACCATAATTTTTCACTGAGCTAATGGTTAGAACTAAAAAGTTCACCGCTAAATGTTCTATCACTAATTTCCGAGCAAAACCTTAACCTGAACTCTTTAATCAGTATTTAAACGTCCTTCTTCATGCAGAGCCTTCGTACGTATCGTCACAGATGTTCAGTCTGCCAAATGGATGAATGAATTTTATTATGAATGTTATTTGAATATGCGGAACAAATCAAAATCTTTCAGCGAAAAAGCATGAGAATAAATTAAGCAGAGCATAGGCATAGAATTAGGCATGGCGCGGCACATAAGTACACGTCAAGTGGTATGCACACTGAGTAACCGCTTATGTCAACTATCATCAAACGACGGTAGGCCTCATATGATGCGAACTAATACAGGAATGAATGCGTTAAACAGTGAATCTTATCTATTTAACCTTGTTCCGAAATGCATGGATTTGTAAAATGAAAAGGCCGAATGAATTGCGTGGTTGCCGTTTGATAAAATACTGCTGCACCGACGTCGCCAACCATCAAAGATACGCTATACAAATTCTCTGACAAGAATTCCAAAATTGAAGTAGAATTATGCAATATCAACTTGAGAGCGTGACAAAACACTAAGGTCACTTTTGGGAGTTCAAGAATGAAAATATAGGAGACGTACGTAAAAATAAGCAAAATGCACAATTTAGTAAAGATAGAGAGAAGATTTTGGAGCCTCCACTTGCTTCAAACGGAAGCGATATTACGCTGTAACGAACCAAATTAACATCTATGGATCAAAAACAACTTTGAGTTAGAACCCCTCCCCACCCCTTCCCAAAGGTTGTTTAGAATTTACATGTTCAACTTCAGCTCATTCAAATATGAAAGAAATGTCAGACAGATACCGGAGTTAAAAACTTTTCGCATTTTCATTTAAATGGAACATCTCGTGACGCTTTCATCATAATTAAGCTGCAACAGCATATCAGACGAACCTGAAGTGCTGTTTTAATAGGTAAGGAATGGAAAGATGTTAGCTATAACTGCATTGATTATTGTGTTGTCTGCGTGTCTAAAAATGCACGAAGGGGCAGCGAGCCGTAGGTAGCTTCTGTTGAAGAAAAGAAAAAAAGAATATATTACGGAACCTCGCACAATGTCAGATTGGCTCTTTTGAGGACTGACTAAACCTGCGAAATCCAATGGCCACACATCGTTTTTTCTTAGTGAAAGTCACTAAGCCATCAAAGTATGCTTCCATCTTATTTATCTTCATATTCAATCGCCGCTTCTCCTTTCGGGTCGCGGACGCAGACACGCAGATAGAGCTTCCAACGTTCCCGATCCTGTTCCAGTGTCTGAGCTTCCGCAAGAAACAAATGGAACCAGGAACAGACTCCATCCGTATGTTTGCACCAGGTTAATCATGGCCGTCCCCTGGCCTTTCGTAGGTTGGATTTGCAAGGAACGGTTGCTTAGCATTCCTTCCTGGAGGCATTCGCAACACATGCCCAAGCCATCGCAGCTTTGACTTCTCAATCTGGAGAACCAAAGGTTGTATTCCAAGGCACGTCCGGATGTCACTATTCTGGACAATGTCGAGACGCGTAAGGCCATCGACTCGTCTAAGAAAGCCCATTTTAGCAGCTTGTACTCGGATTCGATATGTTTCAGTGATGGTTCACGGTTCATGAACGAAGGTAAGCATGGGAATAAACATCGACTTGAATATCGAGAGATAAGTTTTCAGACTGAGCTCTGCTTTGTGACTATTTAGTCACAATGGGTCGGGCTCGTTCACGCAGAACGCCACTAGCCACTACAACTCGCCGGTCGATTTCTTCCTATAATTTTCTGTCACTAGTAAATACACTTCCGACGTACTTGAACTTCTCCACCTGCTCCACAGTCTATTCGTTAATCTGAAGAGAGCAATAGGCAGAAGAACGAGAAAATGCTAGGCTGTTCGTCTTAGATGCGTTCACACGCATTCCCGTCACTTCCCACTCGGCTGCGAACCTTTCTAGGGAGCGCTAAAGATCAGTTTCAGATGATGCGAGTAAAACAGGTTCGTCTTCAAACAGCAACCTTCTCGACTTCACGCCTTCTACACCGATACTCTCATCGCCTTGCCAGCTCTTGACCATTCCATCCATGTACAACACAAACAGGATAGCAGACAGGACGCAGCCTTGGCGGAGACCAATGCGAACGTTGAATGGTTTCGACTTAACGCCATTAACTTTGACACAGCACTTGCTATCAGAATACAGTGATTCCATGGCCCGTAGCAGCTGGCCGTCAATCCCGTATGCATGAAGGCATGTCCACAGACTGTTGCGTGGGATCCGGTCATAACGCTTTTTCTAGGTGCACAAAATACAGGTACACCGGATGGGCGCACTCCCACAATTTCTCATCAATCTGGCGCAGGGCAAATATATGGTCAGAGGTGATTCGACCGGGCCGGAAGCCACACTGTTCTTCTTGGATCTTCAGGTCAACTCTTTCACGGCACCTCCTTTCTAGCACCTTTGCATAGACTTTACCTGGGAGGCTCAATAACCTTATGCCCCT